AGCAACGAGATCAAGAGCAGTGTCTGTAACAGTTGTAAATGAATTTCGTTACAATTTGTCTGTTTTTATAAGTCAGCAAGACATCAAATACACATTGCAAATATTAATTGTTGCTAGATCATACAAACACTTTATTATGGATAGCATGTTATTGTAGGGCCATAAACGGGGATATGTTTGCAGCTAGGTCACGTGGGTAAAGCCCCTGTCCTTTCTAAGGTAAAAGTCCATCAAATCGGCTATTCTCTTTTAATAAAGGGCCACTCTAACCAAAACGGTCATGTAGAATAATTTTTGACGGAGATTCCGAACGTCAATAATTCTAATAATAATAATAATAATAATAATAATAAAAAAATAATAATAATAATCTTTTAAAGTCCACTCCAAATCTTATTAAACCGAAAATGGAAATTCTTTTTGCCCCATTGATTGTGAGCCCGGCAGCCACTGAGCAGCGCCAGATCGACGTTGCTCTATCCCTTATTGTTTAACGCCAAACAAGGTAGCAGCAACTCCCGTCTTTTAACGTCTTTTAGTATGACGCGGCCGGGGTTCGAACCCACGACCTCCCGGTTGTGAGGCGGACGCTCTACTGACTGAGCCAACACATCGGAATCTAGCTTTAAAAATGACGGCTCAGAACGCTCAAAAAAGGCCCAGTTTCAGAGCTGTATTGCGCAACTGTTTATGACGTCACTGCAGGAGCCTCTCCGGTGAAAAGGAGGGTGATTTAGGCATTAGAATGTCTTTAAAAGGGCAAACTATGATATTTATTGAAGAAGAAAAAACGTTTATCCCAGAAATGATATGCACTTGATAATCCCAGTACGTTTCATTTATGAATTACAATGAGAGTGTAAGATCCTTAGTTGAAGGACAAATCGGACATGCCCGCAATGACGTCAAATGCAACATCAAGCCACGTGACGGTATTACCTTTTTTTCGAGGGGCGTAGCCACTATGAACATGACAGACAAAGAAAGCGGACAAAATATACAGTTCCTCAGGTAGATAAAGGAACATCCCTTCACTGCTATTATGTAAAAATGTGAATATGCATGTGACACCTGGGCCCCCTCTTACAAAGAGTTGATATCAATCGTAACTTATTTGCGATTGATATCAATCGTAACTATGTACATAAGAGATAGGAGACTGCAAACTTACGATTGATTGGAGAACTTACGATTGATTTGGATCGATCGTAACTCTTTGTAAGACGGGGCCCAGTTCTACACATTTTTACATAATAGCAGTGAAGGGATGTTCCTTTGTCTACCTGAGGAACTGTATATTTTGTCCGCTTTCTTTGTCAGCCATATTCATAGTGAGCCCAGCAAGCGTGAGATCTGTGACAAATAGATGGTTATTATCATTTTTAGTCAATTTAGAAATTTTCTGACTGGAAAAATCAGAGGCTGGAATATTAATAAGTAGAGGTGTATTCATGTTTGAAAGGCTATTTCTTATCAAGGATTGCAATACTTTCGATTTTGATTGTGTTCCAATATTTCATTATATTTGGTTACAATATAAAAACATGAGACAAAAAATGCATCGAACTATACCTTACACTTGAAATGCCAATATATTGATGATGATTAATGAATGCACAAACGATTACAAAGTCTGGCGCCCATCTTTGCTTCGTGTCACCTGTCCAATGTATAATATCATTATCCATAAAGAGGTTCATGAATATTATTTAACCAATATTTTAATGAACGAATCATTCACAATTTACAAGCCTGCATTAGCGGGTTTATCATTCTTTATTATCATTTTAATGATCGAAGCCTCAACAATTTACCATCTTTAAAAGGCAGGTTTATGAATCGGCTTTTATCCCAATTTGATGAATGAAGCCTTCAAATTCATGACTTTGAAAAAGCAGTTTTATGAATTTGTAATCATAATTTTGACGACCGCAGCCTTCATAGTACATCATATTTAATAAACTAGGTTTATGCGTCGCTCCCGGCAGCTGTATTCATGGGCATCTGCTTTCTTTCGGTGATGTGCTGAACGAACAAAGGAGTTCAGATCACCAAGTAAAACAAAAATGCAATTTTAGAATAACCCCACTAACGGGACACACCGCGTACTTTATGGGCAATATAATCATCTTTCTGAAAAGATACGACAGACCGGATCGCCCCCCCCCCCACCCCCCCCCCCCCGCCATCGGCTGACCAATCATAGGCATGTATTGATGGGTTAGGGCCGTAGCAACAGGAGGGCTGTATTTATCATAGTATAGTGTAGTGTAAAACATAGATTAAATCTTGGATCTTGGATTCTTTTCCTCCTAAATACTCCGAAGAAGAGTTTTGACTGGAGGTGGTGGAGGGTGGACGATTACATTTCGGAAAAAAGTTCTTTAGTAACTGCATTTCTAAATGAGAGCGGGGAGGTTTGGTCGATGGTTGCTTGCTGTAGGTTTTTCCATATCTTTACAGTCCGTGGGAAATATGAGTTGACATGAAAATGCATGCTTTGTTGAATTAATGACAAGAAACATAATTTTAAGTATATAATGGAAACGAGTGATCCACTAAAATGCAAAGCTTGTAAAGTGTGAACCACTCGAAGAAACAAAATATACAATTTACAATTTCGATTTGAGAACAAACAAAATCTTAAAGTGTATGAACAACTATAACCTGAAATCTATTTGACTCAGGCGTTTGTTTCTGTAATCAAGAGGTTCTTTAATTATTTATATTTAGGTTTTTGTTTAACAATTGACGTGTAAATACTTGTTATTTTGATCAAGTATAACATAAAAATGGAATGAACACTCCACTATGACCTATCTTAATCTCAATCGTTCTGAAAAACCGTTACCATGGTAACGAGATGCTAACAGGTGGTGGTATCGCGACATAACACCGCGTTGGGAAGTAAGATCGATGATCTATAGGAATGATATTAGTCATGATGATCTATACGATTGTGGAGCAAGCAACAACGCACGGCACCGATATAGTCATGCTGGTATTGATCGTGTGATTCATATCCCCCCCCCCCATCCCCCAACATCGCCATAGATGATGTAGTCTTCTTGTTCGTTGAGACAGAGAGGATAATAATAATAATAATAATAATATTGGCATTTATATAGCGCTCTTACAGACATACATGTGTATCACAGCGCTTTACAACATATTATTATTACCCCGGTCATCGGATTCAGGCTTACCCGCACACAAGGTATGCACATTCTCCACTCCCTGGGGAGCATTCCAGCCAGTCGCCATTTTACAAGCGCCACTTGCTAATCAAACCACATTAGCTTTCGCATCCTACCGGGTACCCATTTTAACACCTGGGTGGAGAGTGGCAAATGTAGATCAATGTCTTGCCAAAGGACATTAGTGCCGCGGCGGGACTTGAACCGCGGACCTTGTGATCCACAGTCCGGTGACTTATCCACTCGACCACGACACAGGATGTGGTGAAAGAGAGAAAAAGAAAAAAAGAGAGAGAGAGAGAGAGAGAGAGAGAGAGGGAGAGAGAGAAAAAAAACATACAGAGTGGGCTTTGATATGCCATCCCATTTCACAGTTGACTTTTTTAATAGGTCCACCGAGTATCGTACGTCATAATATATTTTCCCCTTCTTCAGATGAGGTCCATACCGGTACCTACCGTCGGCTCTTCCATCCTGAGCAGCTGATCACCGGCAAGGAGGATGCTGCCAACAACTACGCCCGTGGTCACTTCACCGTCGGAAAGGAGCTGATCGATATTGTCCTCGACTTCGGATGTGATGGCAAATTGATGGTGATTATGACGATAGTGATAATGATTATGATAAAATTGATGTTAGGATGATGATGGGGATGGTGGTGGTAATGATGGTGATGAAAATGATGATGATGATATGATGATGAAATGGGTGTTTTTTTTTAAATACAAATGCCTTATATACAACGACAGACGTATAAAGAGAGAGAGAGAGAGATGGAAAGAGAAGGGAGATGTGTTGAAAGAGAAAAAAGTAGGGGCTAAGGGGGACACGGAAAATGAGTATGAAAATAGAGGGAGAAAGGGAGAAGAAGAAGAAGGGTTACATCTGCAGCATACACAAGAGAGAACAGATTCTGAATTAATCCAACAACCACTCCTCCCCTACAAAGTACCCCTAGGGTATTAATGCTGTTACAATCGTTGATTAATCAGCAAACAAAAACTTCACCCACCCTCCCCCCCCCCTCCTCTCTCTTTCTTTCTCTCTCCTGTTTGATTTATTTTCATTTTGATTTTTTCGGCATTCGATGAAAGGGGACACATAACTTGCCAATACTACGCTTCTTCTCATATAATTATGATACCAAATACCTTTCGATTAATTACTCATATAATGCACATACATGTAGACACAACGCAGCCTTATACCACAAACTGACATATATTTTAACCAAGTAACCCTAATGGTATACCGGGGCCCTGTCTACACACAACCTGCTTATTAAGGGTATCCCTCCATGTTTATATTGTTATTTTAATACAAAGTAAATTAAAAAAAAAATATATATATATAAATAATAATGTTGTTGAAATCTTTATATTTAATATTAAAGCATACCAAAACTTCCTTCATCCGCCCCCCCCCTCTCTCTCTCTTTCTCTCTCTATATCTCTCTCTCTCTCTCTCATTCCCTTTTTTTCTCATCCATCTCATCCACCGCTACAAACTTTGAAATATAATTGATATCACCAGAGGGCGGCCTTTTATTTTCGATAGCAGTTGGGCAGCGTCGATCAAGTGATGACGAAAGTTATATTTATTCTTGGCATGAAGATTTATATCATAAAAATACTTTGTTCTTTATTCTATAATCTGCCAGCATTATCTTTACGTCAATGTTACGATTAATCACACCTTTCATCATCCCATCAGACGTGCAATAAATATAATCACACACTTGTAAGTTAAAATAAGAAATTTATGTTTCGTTTAATATGATAATTGAATGACATTATTAGTTTCTTTAGCTTGGTAAAAATAACATGAAAAGAACATGAATCAATGACGGCAACGATTTCCTTTTTAGGGGAGTGGGGGTGGGAACTTAACGAGATTCATGATAACTTGAATGTCAATCACAGAAGAAAATAAGATCCCGTTAAGAAGAATTCGAAAGACAACAACAAACTATGTTATCATGTTTGTGTGCTGAATATGCACATTTCAATGTGCTTTTTTTCGGAGCGAAAAGTAATGCAAAATTTCAATGTGCTTTTTTTCGGAGTGAAAAGTAATGCAAAATTTCAATGTGCTTTTTTTCGGAGCGAAAAGTAATGCAAAATTTCATAGTGCTTTTTGTCGGAGGATCATAGTTGCAAATAAGAAGTACCATATTTTGCATGTAATTTGTTGTGTTAACTGGTAGTAAATATCAATAGGTAGCTTCAATATTGTGCTAAATACTAATAACTTGACTAGCTCGTATGTTATTCACCCACTGATTTGAGAGTGAGAGTTTGATATTCTTCACCTTCCTCCCAGGGGGCAATGAGAGAAGTATAAAAATTGCGAAAAAGTATTTGTTTGCTAGAACCTAAATGGAAATTCATTTTGTAGTGTGGATTTAGGATGAGCGTCAAGGGTGTCATAATCTGTCTAATATTCTTCGCCTTCCTCCTCCTCGCCCTCTGCGTCGACGGAATCGACACCGACTTCTTCGTAGTCCTTCTCGAGAGCAGCCAAATCCTCACGAGCCTCGGAGAACTCACCTTCCTCCATACCTTCTCCGACGTACCAATGGACGAAAGCGCGCTTGGCGTACATCAGATCGAACTTGTGGTCGAGACGAGCCCAGGCCTCGGCGATGGCAGTGGTGTTGCTCAACATGCAGACGGCACGCTGAACCTTGGCAAGATCACCACCAGGGACGACAGTGGGTGGCTGGTAGTTGATACCGACCTTGAAGCCAGTTGGACACCAGTCGACGAACTGGATGGTACGCTTGGTCTTGATGGTAGCGATGGCGGCGTTGACATCCTTGGGGACGACATCACCACGGTACAGGAGACAGCAGGCCATGTACTTGCCGTGACGGGGGTCGCACTTCACCATCTGGTTGGCGGGCTCAAAACAGGAGTTCGTTATCTCACTAACGGTCAGCTGCTCGTGGTAGGCCTTCTCGGCAGAGATGACTGGGGAGTATGTGGCAAGAGGGAAATGGATACGTGGGTAGGGCACCAAGTTGGTCTGGAACTCAGTCAGATCGACATTGAGGGCGCCATCGAATCGAAGAGAAGCGGTGATGGAGGAGACGATCTGGCCGATGAGACGGTTCAGGTTGGTGTAGGTGGGACGCTCGATATCGAGGTTACGACGGCAGATATCATAGATGGCCTCATTGTCGACCATGAAGGCACAGTCGGAGTGCTCCAGGGTGGTGTGAGTCGTAAGGATGGAGTTGTAAGGCTCGACAACGGCGGTGGAGATCTGGGGAGCGGGGTAGATGGCAAATTCGAGCTTGGACTTCTTTCCGTAATCAACGGAGAGACGCTCCATGAGCAGGGAGGTAAAGCCAGATCCGGTGCCACCACCGAAGCTGTGGAAGATGAGGAATCCCTGGAGACCTGTGCACTGGTCAGCCAGCTTCCTGATCCTGTCGAGGACAATGTCGATCAGCTCCTTTCCGACGGTGTAGTGACCACGGGCGTAGTTGTTGGCAGCATCCTCCTTGCCGGTGATCAGCTGCTCAGGATGGAAAAGCTGACGGTAGGTACCGGTACGGACCTCGTCTGAAATGAATTGACATATACAGGTTTTTATTTCCATTGGTGTTTTTGATGCTATTTATCTTTTTGTATGAATAAGACATTTATGAACACCAGACTTTTGAAGAATGTCAATCAAATCGTAAACATTGAATAGCTTTCTGTTATTTATCAATACTATCGGTCAAGATTCTGCATGATGTTATCACATACAATAAACGTGATTTGTTTATTCGAATCTCTTTGAAATAATCTTACCAATAACAGTCGGCTCAAGATCGACGAAGACGCCTCGGGGAACGTGTTTGCCAGCTCCAGTCTCACTGAAGAAGGTGTTGAAGGAGTCGTCACCACCTCCGATGGTCTTGTCTGACGGCATCTGGCCATCGGGCTGGATGCCGTGCTCCAGGCAGTACAACTCCCAGCAGGCATTGCCCATCTGGACTCCGGCTTGGCCGACATGGATAGAGATACATTCACGCTGTAAAAACATAAGAAAGAGCCATATGGAGATTCAATCAGAAGTGGTATTGACGATGCCTGCATCAATGATAAGAATTGCTGGAGATAAGACCAAAACAATTGCAATGTCCTTGTTCACCACTACTTGAAATCTGCGAACACGACAATGATGTATTATTTAATGAGAACATGGGATATACAATATTGTATTGCAGTTGGACTTGCGTATATTTTTTGAAAGTATTTGCTATTGTGTTATACAAATTTGAAACAAATATATAAAACTAAAAGCAATTTTAGAACACGTAAGTGATAACAGGACGAACAGATGACCAAAAGTATAAATATCTCAGTTATCCGTGACTACATCACCATCCTCTGACTGACCAAACTGCCAATTTGAGGTGCACATAGACTTAGCAATCTCATTATTCCATTATTCATGACTTTCTTATTATTGGTCCGATCTATTTCAAACTTTTGCCATTCTGTTCATCGTATTTGTAGGTGTTCATATAAATGAAATTATTACAAGGGCTGGGTTGCCCTTTAATGATCTGTCGATTGCGTAGGCATGTGTTTTGTTTGAAATTATTTGTTACTATAAAAACACGTTGCTACGAGGGCGCATGTTATTGAAAGTTAGTGATGTCACGTACATGTATGGTGTAGATGAGGACATTTGTATTCCTATTTTCTAAAAGGTAACGCTTGTAAAGTTTTATGGCTTGTATATTAAAACTTTTATATCGACAGGGCGATATTAATTTGGAAATTTAATTATGTAGTTTTCCCCCGCGCCCCCCCCCCCCCTAAAAAGAAAATCGTGCTATAGAGATATGATCAATTCAACCTATTTCTGCTAGTCTAATACATATTTATATTATCCTCTGGGCCCTGTCTTACAAAGAATTGCGATTGATCAAAATCAATCGCAAATCCTCTAATCAATCGCAAGTTTGCAGTCTCCAATCTCTTCTGTACAGTTGCGAATAAGGTGCGATTTATTTCACCTCTTTGTAAGACAGGGCCCAGATATTATGATTTTTTTTTCTTTTTGCTATTTGTTTACAATGAAGGAAGATGATAATAGTTTACTCTGTACGCCCGCCGTGTATATATTATATTGATCTCATTATGACTGAAACCGAATGGCTTGAAGGTTCCGTGTAGAATCGAACAATATTCCTTTTGAAAAGTGTAAGGTGAAAAGAGCAGCGTGTCTATTGTATACCAGTTCGATTTATTGCCGCACTTGGCATAGTAACAACACCATGGCATGTGAGCGACGGAATACAATGAGGTTCACAATCCATACTATTCATGCCTCGATCCAACTTCAATTGCCCGTAACGAAACCAGTAAGTTACAATTCATAGAAGGCCCTTTCATCTAACACGTTTTAGGGAAATTTAAAAATGGTTGATCAACTTTTATATATTTCAAACTGCTCGGGCGAAATCAAATTATGTTGGGATGATGCAGCCAGAGATTTCTGTTGAAATTTAGAAAATTGCTCTTAATTTGTATTTCTTGTTTTTAAGAGTCTAATATTAAATAGCTCTTGGAAAAAAGAACGCCGCAATCGCCCATATATTCCGATTTTCATAGAAATACATCGCTATATGCGGGGTTTGCTGGGGAATACAATCTCTCCCAAGCACTGTGAATTGTACAGTCAAATCCAAACGAGATAACCTCCACAGTTCTGAACTCCTTTTCAGATTATAGGGACCATCCTTCTTATGATCAACTGAATGTAAAATCAAATTTACTTTTCACTATTATAGCCTCGACAATTAATATTTTTCTTTCTTGCAATATTCGTTAATTCCGTTCTGTTGATCATTGCATTAATAGCATTCACATCAATGCCTCTTGTGTGTTTTTTTCTTCAAATAAATTTGAATTTTCCTTTACTTTAAGTAATGTGTATTATAGTTAATGTATTGCTATGTTCCTACTTGTTTAAGTTATTATAATGTGATTTGCATTGGTATGGTTTCGATTCTTAAAGGGATCGTTTGACAATGTTAAATCTGAGATACACGGCCCTACGTGTTATCAGTGTCTGTGATATGGTGTAATATTGAAGCCCTAACAAAATCGCGCTTCAAAACAGTCAAGAAGTGCCTCAAAAAAGTAAAAATCTTTGAGTGACCGGTTTTACCATACTCGTTTCCCCCAATAGACTGTAGTGTTGTGAAAACCGTTAGGAAAACGCAAAATTTGGTTTCGATTTTCCAACCATTAATATTTTGATAATCAGACAGGCGATCGGCTTGTAAAAATGATGGGGTTCCTCACTGACCTAAAGGTTTATAATTATCATTGTAGCATGAGCTAAAACCAGGATTTTGTTTCAGAATCTGAGACAAAGTTACCGGATCCCTTTATAAGAAGATAATTGATTCGTACTTTATACTTGATTAATCATGTGACCGGACCATTTGCGCCTTTCTCAACCACGTGATCAACTGATACACGCTGTATTTCAATGTTGCGTGCAAAGTCCTTAAAAACCATAATCAATATTTGTGATTCACAACAGATAACCCCTATGGGGTGATTTTTGCTTCGACCCTTGATATATGTTGTACTTTGACCTGTACAATAGACAAGTTGGCAAACACGCATAGGTACACAAGCCACGGAAATATACACGAAGAAGATAAAATCATTGAATTCGGATTTACCCGGCTCTGATTTGAACACTTGTCATGTTTGTGAAGCTGATGAAATGCGTCTACACTCACTCCACTCCAGATAGGGGCAAGTGTCGTAGACGGTAACTGAGCAACGATAGTGTGTGATCAAATTAATCACACGCATTTCAATCTATATTTAATGTATTTTGCATGTGAATATTGACGAACTATTGCATTTACTAGTCAGTGTACTTTAATAATTAAAATACACACAGATTAAAAATAATAGTTGTTGCTTTGTCGGGCTAATCCAGCAACCTTAATATCATTCCAGTATAGGTTAAGAATTTCAAATAACAATCCATAAGTCGGACAAATTTTCAATTGAGATCATGATATCATGGATCAAATTGCTTCAAACCATAGACTTTTGAAATATCAATGGAATATGTGTTAGCTTCAGGGAATGCTATATTTCTTTCATTATCATTACTTGAACTTCTATTAATATAATAATAGTACTGGTAAACATGTTTGTGAACGTTAACATCTGGAAAAAAAATAATGTTATTAAGAATATTGAAATCATCCTCACTTTTGTCCCTGACCGCTAAACGCCCTAAATTGGTCGAGTTAATTTGCTAGTTCATATTTAAAATCAACGTTTCATCACAACATTCTAGATCCGACAGGATTTCGCACCGAAGGCCACCGTCAAGACCATTTATTCTTATTTGATTTCATTCTATTCTATTCCGCTTTTCATCAATGACATCCTGCTTAGAAGTAAAGTCCGCTTGCAAAGGAATCGATGCGTCTGAATTGATTAAATGAGTACTTCATGAAACTTTTTCTTTTTATCTCCACGATTATCAATATGAGAAACACGAGTATAAAGAAGAATAGAATATATCAATGTCAAGCGAACAATGAGAACAAGTTTGGCAAACATTAGTCATTAAATGCGAAAGTCAAGATCTTGTAATGTTTGAAAGCGACAGCACTTTGTGGTAGAACATGATTCGGAACCATCACAATTAAAAATAAAAGGAGCGCCGAAAGTTGGAATTTTACTTAGGCCCCTAGTAAATTAATAATTTTATCAATATCATTATTTTGTTGATTAAAAAAAGTTTATCTGGGTTGTTCCAATCACACACAGAGAGCTAATCAAAACCGTAATCTTTTCTTTTTTTTTTAATTTTAAAAAGAAATCAGTTTCTTAATGTATGCCCTCATTACAAAGAAATGCTTCACAAACTCCGGCAAATTAAAAGCTAGTTGTAATTCCATATCCACACAAAATAAACAGTAACAAATTCAACGAGTTTCTATTAAAAACTCCGCTTAAGATGAAAACCAATATCATTTAATTTGTAAAAGCTAGAGATTACCATCTTACCATATTGAAGATTGAGTGTTGGTACTGTTTAGACCGAGTTAACAGAGGCTAGAGGGGTTTCTCGAACTGCTTTCGACGTCTGATGTGAAGCGAGCAATCAACGAAAATGGCTGAGTCTTGTTGGGAGCGAGCGTTATTATTTAGTATTCATCTGTTTGTGTATACCGTTGCCGTGCATACTGATAAGAGGAGATAAAACGTGTCTAGGTTAAAGTCAAGCTCCTCCTATTGGTTGTTAGTCTGCTTAACAACCAATACAAAAGGAGAAGCTGCCATACCGCCTTGGATCTGTTAAAATATTCATATTGGCATATCTGCATATCAGATCCAGAATTATCTTGCTTTAATACTACTACTACTATATGGGCGGGGATGTTAACGAACACACATACGAATTTGGGCAAACATATTTCTTGGTTCTTGGTTCTTGGTTGGTTGGTCCTCCAAAATACCCGTCTGAGTTTTAACTGAAGGTGCATAAACCCGTCTGAGTTTTAACTGAAGGTGCATAAACCCGTCTGAGTTTTAACTGAAGGTGCATAAAACAGTCTGGCTTCATATTTCTATCCCTTTGATCTAAATCAATATTAGTATTGTCTAGTCTAGGTAATTCTAGACGGATCGGGAAAATTGTGTCCACATGAAAGAAACATTCACAAATTTGAATAAAATTAATATGTTAGACCGTTATGTTACTGCTATGTTAGTAGATCTAAGCTGGAGGGACCAAAAACAGAGTATAGACTAGACCTAGATCTTAAATCACACTCACCTCATTTGGTCATCAATCTTAAAAGAGGTTGTCCAACGGGTTATGAAACTTTTGTTTACTCTCTCTCACTTTTTTAAATTTCACCTAGCCTATAATTTTGAGGAAGTTTTGAACGTTTTCGCGCAACATGTAAACATAAGGCCTAACGCGTGGTAGCCAAGTACGCGAAAGGGAGAGAGGGAGCGCAAGAGAATAAGCTGATCAATGACGTCACAATGATACTCATTAATGTTACAAATCGTGGCGTTAAAAGCCGTAATATACAGAAGCAAGGTCTTAACAGAAATGGTGCAAAGGAAACTTTTGTAAAAAGACTACAGAAGGAAATCTACAGAGAAAATAATAATCAAACTGACAACATCGGCAATAATACATCCCAAAGAGATCGTGAAAACGTTCATCTGTATGTCAAAGCCTCGGCCGGTATATGAGTATTTGAATGCGCTTTCGGCTTAGACAAAATACTAGCGGCCAATTTTGGCCCAGTTCAAAATTTAAGACAGCTTTCTACCAGATTTAAGCCAATTATTTGGGGGCCTTGGTTGTCAGGCATAGGGTTTTCTAAGCAGTATCAAGACAGAAAGGGCTTGCTTACAAAACTTCATGTGAACAATTTCAAGATCATATAGCACTTCAAATCCCCATATCTCACTTCCAAAGAACAGAATGGGCAACACAAGTTGATCAAATAATTCCAAAAGGATGTCAATAGGTAAGTGCAATTGATAAGTTTGAGATAATAGACTATACATTGCTCGTATAGCTTGAGTGCGTTGCTTAATTTGTATGTTATGAAATTTGCTGATGTAGTTAATAGTAGTTCTAAGATAGACGTATTCATCAACAACTTCTACAATATCATCATGAATTTTCAAACTTTAACACGAGAAAATACAACAACTTTGGTTTTAGCTGTGTTGAATTCTCGCTACCCTAAATAGGTACGAAAATCTCGAAATTCGCGAGACGAGGTAATTTTCACTCTCTCGGGTCGTCACTACAACTTCCGGTATAGAGTCCCATCCCGCTGGCGCTAGCGCCTGTGTTCGCTGTGCAGAGTTTTCACGCACGCTAAAATCGATGCCAATCAGTGTAATTTGTACAGATTATAATATGCAATGGAAAGCTTCGGGCAGAATTAGTGACTTTAGCACAAAAGGCCGTTAAACTCTACCGTGAAAGAGAGGGTTGTGATCACGAACGCCTGCACAGGAAGCTGTAATGTCGAAAAGCTATCCCATAATGCAATGCGCGTTTTCAGGATTTTCCCCGGATCTCGGCAGAATCGCTATTTGGGGTAGCGAGAATTGAAGAAACCATTTTTAACAATAATCAGAAACCGCATCGCATCAAGAGCAAGTTGAACATCACTTTCAGTTTGTGCCAGAAAATTGTATCGTCTGCATGTAAAAACCTGCGCACAATAATATTATATCAGCGCGCATTTATTGCGCCTTAGTTTTGATTGACCGTGTGATGTCACAATGCTCATCAGTAAGTATTTTGCCGTGAAGTCGGCTTGCGAAAGTAAATTGCTTATACGACTGAAGACGTTTTACTTATAGCTTAGCTAAAAACTAAGTAAAATGTTGACCTAAACAAAGTATGGAATTGAATACCAGCCCTGGTACCATGGTTAAAGACGTCGCAATTTCTTCGCCATGTGCACCAAAAAGTACAACGCAACTGAAAGTGCTGGCAATGTCTAACGCCATTGCGGTCCCTTGCGAGTCCGAAGTGGCATGATCTCATTACAGTTTCACCAAGAAGTTACTGGTAACTTCTTGGTTCCACCCAAATAAAGTAAATGGGTAATCGGTGGGAAGAAATTGTTTAAATATGTGAGCAGACAGTAATGGTGACTTGGCTCAAGCATAATGCGGTTTTAATATGTTCCCTTGGGAACAACATTATTTGTATTCTTGAGCCTGCCCTGCGTATTACAAACAGATTTATTACTATTATTATCATCATTATCGTTTCATTTAAGATATGTGCTTGTTAGACAACTATTGCTATGCATCTACCGGTGAAACACGGGAATGTGGTCAATATCGACGATTTTTGGTTACAGTGTAAAGGCAGTTCGCTTTTGCAGGGAGCAGGCACGTAGCCAGAGTTTGATGTTTTTTTTTTTTTTTGGGGGGGGGGGCACATAATAATAATAATAATAATAGCTCATTCTTATATAGCGCTTTTCAGGACCGGAGGCCCTCACAAAGCGCTTTACAGATAAGTAATAATTACCCCGGTCATTGGATTCAGGCTTACCCGCACATTCTCCACTCCCTGGGGAGCATTCCAGCCAGGCGTCATTTTTACATGCGCACACTTGCTAATCTAACCACATACATATAATCGATCGAGGTAAAAAAAAAAAAAAGGGGGGGGGTCTAAAAAAGTTCAACTGATCTTGGAAAAAAATGGGGGGGGGGGGGGCACGTGCCCCCCCCCCCCCGGAGCTACGTGCCTTGCAGGTGTTCACCGGTAGATGCATAGCAATATATGTCCAAAAAGCTCATTATAGTCCGGTGACTTATTCATTGGAACACAACACTTCTCAATCTGAGGTTGTACTTTGTGATCATTTTAGATAGTTTCGAATGTAGACCCGTCTAATAATGTCTAACGATTACTTCCTCTGTTTAGCTTCTTCGCCGGCCCTCCTCATCTTCACCTACCTCCTCTGGTATCTCGCCTTCGACAGAGTTGGTACCGACTTTCTCCGTAGTCAGGCGCGATGAAGCGCCATTCAAAGTGGTGGGGGCACCAATAAAAAGGGCACTTTCTGCAAAAAGGGGCACTTACAAATAAGCTCAAGCAAAAATATAAAATTGTTAGAAATTGTGATTGTGATTTCATCATCATCATGGTCCAAGATACTGCTCATTAGCATTATAATTTGTAGTTGGGTGTGATGGGTTGAATATTCATTTGCGAGTAAAAGAAGCAAATGAGTAAACAAATTAAGATATGTGAGATTGCAGTGCAGGAAATTGCATCTTAATAATATAAAGAGGGAAAAAAAATCCTGATAGGGTTTTAAGCACAATCTAGTCATGAAAGGACAAAAATGCCTTTGATAAGAAACAAAATTATATCAAATTTAAATACGAGCGAGCTTCGGGTGAAATTGAAGAAAAAAGTTGTTTATAGTCGCTTTAAATTAGGAATACAGTCATGGTAAAAAGGCAAAAGGACACTCATTAGAAAAGAAAAGGAGCAAGTTTCAAAGTAAAAAGGGTAATTATCTGAGGTGAAAATGGGGCACTTCTCGGACTTGAAAAGGGTCACTCACCAAAGATGGAAAAAAGGGCACTTATGGGAACAGAAAAGGCACTTATTACAAAAGAAAGGAGCAATTATCAGGAGAAAATGGCACTTATTAGAAAGGATAAAGGGGAACGTGTCGAAATTAACTGGTACTTAGTCAGAAATGAAAAGGGGCCATTATTTCAGAGATGGAGAGGGTACCTCTCAAATTTGAATAAAAGGGCACCCAACGGAAAAGGGGCACTATATTTAAAAAATAGAGGCAATTTTATAAGGTGAAGGGGCACTCATCAGATGTGGTAAGAGGCTCTTCTGGTATATGAAAAGGGGCATTTTTTTTTCAGATTGATATAAAGGCATTCATCAGAGATGCGAGAAGGGATATTTATGAGAAGGGGAAGTGGCTCTTATGAAAAAAAATGGGCATTTATCAGAAGGAAAAGGGGCACTTATTAGAAAGGAAAAGGGGGCAATTTTCAAAATTAAAGGTGGCATTTATTCAAGGTGAAGAGGGGCATCGTCAGAAATGAAAAGGGGGTACTTATCAGAAGGAGAAGGGGGGCTTGTTTCAAAGGAAATGGCACTTCTTAAAGCAAAAGGTAACCTCTCAGATTCGAATATGGGCGCAATTATCTTTGGTAAAGGGGGGGGGGCAATTACTAGATGTGGTAAGGGCACTTATAAGAATGTGGAACGGGCACCTATTAGAAATGAAAATGGGCACTTATCTAAAGTAAAAGTGGGCACTTATCCTATGTAAAAAGAGACATTATTGGGGTACTTGAAAAAGTGGGGGGACTATGACCCCCCCCCCTCCCCCCCTGGTCCGCCGCCTCTCTTCGTTGTCATTCTCGAGAGCAGCAAAATCCTCACGAGCCTCGGAGAACTTTCCTTCCTCCATACCCTCTCCCTGTACCCTCTACGCTTGGCGTACATTATCATCGTCATCATCATCATCCTCATCATCATCATCGTCATCACCATATTATCATCTCCATGTCATACCTTAGCATATCACCATCATTATAATCATTTTCATCATCGTGATCATCATCACGAGCCCCCGAAAACTTTCTTTCCTTCATACCCTCTCCCTGTACCCTCTACGCTTGGCGTATATTATCATCGTCATCATCATTATTATCATCTCCATATCATACCTTAGCATATCACCATCATCATAATCACCATCCCACCATACTATCGTTAATCTCGTCATCTTCATCGTACCATTATCATCATCCTCCTCCTCATCATAATCACCATTATTATCATCATCACCTTCATATTATAATCTTCATATCATACCTTAGCATTTCATCAACATATAATCGCCATCATCATCATAATCATCACACTATCGTACATCTTATCATCTTCATCGTACCGTCATCATAATCATCATCAGTTGTACCAACATGTACTAATTAATTCCATCTGAATGGACATTATGCCGACAAGATTCATTTAAAAATGTTCTCCTGCACACACATTTTACTCTCAATTGTTATGGTAACTGAAGCAGCAAAAAACAAAAAACAAGGCAAGAAATGTTTACGTATTTTGTTGATATAATTGCATATATGTCAAAAGGCATGTTTATGAAAAATATTGTGAAGTGAATAATTTCTTTCATCTTATACCGGCAAGGCCGGGGGGGGGGGGGGGGAGAAGAATAAAATTGGTGAAAAGTATTTAACTGCTAGAACCTAAATGGGAATTCATTTAGTAGAGTAGCTTTAAGATGACCTTAAAGAGTGTCAGAATCTGTCTAATATTCTTC